CCCTCTCTCCCTTACTGAAATTCAAGTTAAGATCAAAACCTTCTTTGAACCCTTTATACCCTGACATCAGTATGCAAGTTCTCTTTACTGTTGGGAGAAATCAGATGCTGGTCACTCCGAGGGGAAAACTGTTAATTACCTCTTTCACTCTGGCACTTTTGGAAATATCAGTGATCCTTTATGAGAAAAGAATTTTGTTTGCTGTTGTTGGGCTCTTCTGCTACAGTACATGATGTCTTATTACATATCCGAGGGGAAACCTAACTTTGATTTTGGATCAGAACTTTGAAAAGGTTAAAGTTTCTTGTCTCTTTGTCTCCACCTCGGTTATCCCTTAGGAGTTTTGTATGACACTCCAAATAACAGCTGTGGTTTACAAAAGAAATGTAACTTGTATAGACCACTTTCATAAATGGCTGCCGGATTGATATTCTTTTGTTCAAATTTAAATTAGCCCTTCTGGCCTCGCTTGAGGTAATGTATTCTTTTGAATTTTGTACTGAAGAACGAGGCCAGAAGGGCTAATTTAAATTTAAACAAAAGAATATTAATCTGGCAGCCATTTATGAAAGTGGTCTATGATTTATTTAATATCTATTTTAACACAGGGCTCCCAGTCAATAGAGGGACTTCTTCAAAAGTCAGAAGATGTTATACCAGAAAATAGGAGGAAACATACCCCTGTGGCACTTAAAGCAACAGCTGGCTTAAGACTGCTTCCATCAAACTCTTCTAATCAATTACTAGAGGAGGTACATGACTGTTTATGAAATAAAACACATATCACCATTGCCCTGTTCAAGTAGCAGTAGGCAAATGACTCAAATTTAAAAAAATGAAATGTCAGCATTGTTCCAGAGCAAGAATACAATGGCCCACAAATTAAAATACAGGGTTGGGTTGTTCAAAGGTGGGCTGAGATAACCGAGGGTTAGGGTGAAGTTTGATTTCAAATCTGAAAGCTTCAAAAGAAAATTCAGTTTAATTATTTTTGTCTACAATCTTGAGGTTGGATGCTCTGAAAAGAATAAGGAAAAATTTCCCCAAAAGGTTCTTGAATAGAGAAATAAGGAAACGTGGATTAAAATTTAAACCTGGGTAAGTGCTAATCGGCCTTTGAACAACTGGACCCTGGATATGAAGGATGGTTAACCCATAAGCTACCATGAGTGACCAAGACAGAATTTCTCTTTACCATATCAATACAATGGTTCAATTGGTAGAGCGCTGCACTAGTATTGCAGAGGTCAGTGGTTCCAATCCCATACAGGCCTGATTTTTTTCAGGTCTGATTTTCGCTATTGCATAAATAGCGCTCTATACTGCGAGGATCGTGCATCATACGTATCTATAACCGCAGTTCAAAATATATGAACTTCATATATTCATCATATCTGATTATAAGAATTGTATAGCAGACAGTAAGGAGAATTCAAAATGAGATCTTGGAAGTGAAACGTTTAACATTGATCTTCATTTTCTCCATACTGTTCTCTTTACATTTCCTGTAGTGCTGACAAAGAGAATTGTGTTGACAATCAACAGCTTTGTCAAATTGGTCATCATTTTCTTTATTCTCATGACCTTTACGTTTGATTCATGGTTGGTACAGTTAGGTGAAATTAGAAGCTGGACACTTCATAGCGGTTGTAGGGATAAAACTCATCACAGTCACTGACAGTCATATTTGCACTGAGAAATGGGTAATAGTGAACAGTGATTCCCATTTTTGGCTGTCGGTAACCTGTTGGCCGACACATTACAGACACATTACGGACACATTACTGACACATTACTGACACACTACTGAAACATTACCAACTGCTGGCCGATAGAGTTAAATAGACCTAGAATCGACTGGAAACAAGAGTGAAAACCTTTTCAGTTGAAAACAGTACGTAGATATGTGTTGATTGAACCGTTCATACCTGTCTACATGATTCTGTTTGAACCGTAAAATCAGCTTGTTTAACCCATCTTTCTACTGTAAGTACCAAAATTTTGTGGTAAATTTAATGCCTATTTCTTATATCCTTGTCTGTAAACAAATAAACTTCTTTTCTCCATTTTGTGGTAACAAATAACTATAGTGGATTACAAAACTTTAGTTAACAGTACCAGGGGATTTTACCGAGAAATCATTCAACCATTATTATGTCCTTCTATTGATTTTTTGTCACCTAGGTGCGAAGGTTGTTTCAAGAATCACCGTATCATTTTTCTCAAGAGAGTAATGTTGACATTATGGATGGAACTGATGAAGGGCTGTTTGCTTGGATTACAGTGAATTTTTTGTTAGGTAATGAACTCAAAATATCTCTATATTTTTGTGGCCTAAATTAATGCAAGATTCCAGCAGATTCTGGAATTATTGAAAAAAGAAACGTGTGACATTTGCAAACTCAAAGTTTTCCAGACCAGGGAAAAAGTGAAAAAAACTTTGATGATAGAGTGTTATTTGTCATTCTACAGAATGATTTTATAGCAAAGTGTAACAGGCACTATTAGTGATTTTGAAGAGTGAATTAATTATAATATTCTCAACAACATGTTCAAAGTTGAAAATTATTTCATGTTTTGTTTTTCTCAAAGTGTATATAGCAAGTATTTTGAGAAATTTTCTCACCCAAAGCTGTAGAACTGCTGCATGTGGGTAGTTTGCACAGCTGCATAAATTTAAAATGAAATTTAGGTCAAGACAATTTCAAACTAGTTTTATTTGCCATCTCCTTTGTTCCTAAGGTACAGTACTCAGCCATGTCCCTTAAACAAAGGAAATACAAATCACACTAATTTCAAATCATTTCAAACTAAAACAGCTATTTTTGCCCTGAGTTAACTGCGTATTTGTTCCAAGGGCTTCCTTTAAGTGCATTTAAGTGTCCAGAAATTGGGATTAATGTCCGCATCTGAGCAACAGTGCACTACCCCTCCCCTAATGGGACAGCAGTCAACTGATAACAGGTTGGGGTTATTGTTGGGTTAGGGAGGGGTGGATGTGCAGTTGCTCAGATATGAAATTTATCCAAAAATTGTGCTTTAAAAATGTGAATTCATGAAGCTTGTTTATAAAATGTTTTGGTTATTGTGTGTCATCAGGTGGCCTTAAAAGAGACAGTTCAAAATTATTTGGAACCCTGGATCTTGGAGGTGGATCAACTCAAATCACACTGTGGCCTGTTGATCAGGTTTGAACAGCTTTTTGACATTTATTTCAATTGTACTACTCCAAAGATCCCATTTATTTGTTAATTCTCCCTTCCAGCTGCGGCAAAAAAATATATGGCAGCCGTACATTTTTTTGTGATTAAGTCATGAGAAATTGATATGAATTATATCATTAGGTAACACCATACATTTGGTCAAGTGTTATAAGCTTAAATTTTCTATTTCTTGCTACTTGTTTATTGGATAGTGTACAGATATTGTTAGAGTTATTAAATCGATCACTTCTGAAATTTAGAATCGGCCACAGTGCTTCTTTGCATTGTAATTAACTTAAAGATTGCAACACATGACAATCTGCGGTCTTTCCTTACACTTAGGTAGCACGGAAAGCCGTAAAAATCTTGAACAAAAGCTCATCCTTCAAACCGGCAGTCTAAATCCCACAGGGATCAACGAACGCTTTTCATTCCACTAATTTATTCTTGTTTTTCTCATTGCCATGTTCCCACCAATAACGTAGCTCCATTTTCTGCCTTTAAAAGCACACACAACCCACAATTCCTCTATTCGCTCCGACGAAGGGCTAACGCTCGAAACGTCAGCTTTTGTAATCGTTACGGTGGCCAATTTACCATTTCAACTTTACGTATGATGCACGATCCTTAGCAGTAGATAGCGCTATTTATGCAATAGCGAGAATCAGACCTGAAAAAAATCAGGCCT